ATGCAAATTAGGTAATTAACGAGCATGGATTTTTACCAAAACCTAATCAAATCTGCGCATTGGCCCAGAGCATCTATGCACCAAGTTTCATCAAAAACCGATGTATGGTTCTTGAGATAGCAGTAGAACAGTCGGACACACATACACACATTCACACACACGCACACATACACACACACATACAGACACACTAACTGCAAAGACTCCCATTTTGTGCTTCGCACATGGGAGTCAACTAGAAATGAACTTACCATGCACTCTTCACTAGTACAATTTGTTGTTGGTGTATCGTCACCTGGTTTGTGACAATTATCGTCGTCATCAAGATCAACCATGTATATACAGGAATAGCAATCGAAAGCTGCTGCTAACTCTGAAATGTGGACAATAGTGATAAATATCAGAACATACCGTAAAATCTGTATTAGAAGCCACATCTCTAATATAAGTCTCAGACTTTCTTTTTGAGCAATTGAGAACCAAAAATTCACATTTTCTCATACGTGTAGATGCTCTAATAGAAGCTGCATCCCTTCTGTTGCATTGTACCATTTTAATAGAAGCCGCAGCTTCTAATACAGATTTTACAGTACTCTTTGGGAGCAGTCAACTCCCAGTACATTACCAATATCTCTGATGTGTCAATGAAGAATGTGCAGCTCACACTTCATTACAAGATAGCTGGCATGTGATCTACAAGGTATGGTTATATGTGATCTCGATCCAGTCTCATACTTGATGGGATCATGCACATTGAAACCTAACACAATGTACCTACCATACACTGTTGCTACAACAAACAGCACAAAAACCATCTTCTGGACAGAATTCATGGCGAGGATTTCAAGTTCTGCAGAAAAAAAAAATTAATTAATGCAATATAATTTCTATAATGATAGTTCTTAATTTATTGGAAACTTATTTTGTTTCTCCTGTAAGAGAACACCGCAGATTCATGATGATGTTTTTAGTAATGGCCAAGTCAACTAGGGACAGGAATACTTAAAAATATTTAGAAATATTCAAATTGTTATTGTATCTTACTGATTTGACTATGTTGTTCATGTTAATTGTTTTTTCAACTGTTGTCAGTTGTTTGTTTTGTGTTTTTGAGCTTTTAAATTTCGCAATATGATTTTTGCACAAAAATGAACAACAGTTTAATAGGTACATGTATATTATTATACTAATCAAGTCTGTGAATTACCCGAGAGCATCAATGAAATTTGATGACTATGCACACTGTGCAAATTCAGCAATTAGTTTTGTCAAATTTAAATAAATAATTAATGCATTGTTCACATGCACTTATATACCAAGTCTATTTGATATGCAATAATTATTTTTGAAAAGAAAAAGAGGTAATTATTATGCAAATTAAGCACTTAAAGTGTACACTGAACGCTAGATTTTATTTCATTTTCTGCTATCTTGTATTTAAATATCAAACACCAGAAATTTGTTTTAAAATCCGATG